TGCCATGTTGAGGCAGAGGGTGCTGTCTGTAGCTCTGGTTGAGGGTGAGAGGCTGTCAGCAGATAAACAGAGATCTGTGTGGGTACATGAGACCCTAAAAAAGAGGCTGGATCATGGGGAGTACCACCAGTTGGTCCAGGAGCTTCTCCTCCATCATGGACGTTTACAGTACTGCACTTATCTGCTGTTTTCTATTCAGATGGTGCTAACTGTGCTTTGTAAAGTCGTATAGCTCTGAGTATCCAGCAACCACTACCACCAGTTTCTCCTCCATTGTTTACCAACTGTACACTTGTTGTCGTGACCACCACAGAAGCCCCGCCTCTCAAATCATCCCATTGGACAATGGGGAGAAAAGCAGAGATGACGTGGGGCGCTGTTCTGCTCTGAGTTGACGTTTTTTCAACTCAAGGAGTTCAGAGCGCTCCAGCAATAACGCCAGGTGCCACGAGCGCAGAAACACGAGGCGCGTGGCAAAAACAGCGAGCAAAAAGCTTCGTTCTCTTACTCTGCCTCTGATTGGTGTTAGTGTATTGCAGTGTAGCCAATCAGAGGCAGACTAGGGCCGGTCTTGCAAAGAAAATCAAAGCAGCAAGCAGATTTGTATGTGATGTCATACAGGAAGTGCTGCCCTCGTCTACATGCCTCGGTGTGGTACTGGCGTCGGTCACATCACTTTTCCTCAGTTTTATTATCCTGACTTTGATCCAGACCTCTGCTGAAAAACAGTCGGCTGCACTTCAGAGCTTTTCCTGGAAAACATAGTGTGGAACTTTTGAGGACATTACTGCACTACTCAGTCAATGAATCAACTTCACTACTGAAAGCTGTTTGACTCAGACAGTAGTGATGTCACCACCATGCGACTGAGAAATGGAGTTAGGTTATGGTGCGTTCGTTTTGTACTCGGAGGTCGGAAATTCCCAGTTCCCAGTCAGAAGTTTAAACTCGAACGCCCTGAGATCGGATTTCCAACTCAGAAACTCGGAGCAACCGCATCAGCCCCGACTTACGAATTCAAGATGGCTGCTGGTCACATACGCTGTGAGTAAACACTCTGCTAAAGTAATGTTTACAGCAATTTTATGTTATTTGTTTTACATCAGGTCAGCCTCATCTGCGACGTTCATAAGTTGGAGTGCATGATGGTTTTGAAGCTGTCTGTACTCCGAAAGTGCAAGGGCAACAAAGGCTTTCTTGTGGGCGTCCATGTTTTTTTCAGACTTGTCCACCGTTGTCAACTAGGGGTCCGTCCCAAGTCTCTTAAATTACTGCTAGTTATCTTACCTAGCCAACTTTGCTAGCTGTTTAGCTCCTCCCACCTAGGAAAAAATGCGAGGAGCTAGCGCTAGGAGAGATGAGCGAGCATTGTCGGTTTAAGAGACATGAGACGTCCTTTCCACTGAAGCGACGTCCATTCCTGATGAAAGCAGCACAGCGTCTGGCGTTACTATGGGTACATCCCAAGTCTCATTATATTCGCTGACCAGTAGCAGTAACATCGCTACTCGTAATGTCGCTGCTGCCTGACACTGCTCACATGGTTCTTTAAAGTTTCAGTTGTGAGCTGCAGGTCAGAGGTTGTGAAGTGATGTTGATTCTCTGGTCAGGAACATATCACATCATCATGAAACATGGACAGCAGTGTGGACTCTTCCTTTTTGTTTTTTCATGCTCCCTTTCAGCCTCCTCCTTTAAATGTGTTCTCCTCTGTGTTTGTGTTTCAGGTAGAGGGATGGCGCTGTCCTTTCTTTTCTTCTTCTCTGCTGTGCTGCCCTCGTTCAGAGCATCTGCCTACAACACATCTGCCGGTAATGACTGACTGCATGTCTCACACACACGAGTGTTTGTCTCTGACACAGTGGGCTTCATTCACAAACGCTGCGGACTAGGGTTTCAATGGCATGACATTTTTCCGGTACGATAACCATCTCAGAAAATATAACGGTCTTATTATCAGTCAGAATGATCCTTAAAGGAATGAAAACAGAAGGATTATTGTTGGTTTAACAAATGTTTGATTACTATAATTAAAAATTAATTTCATGTAAAAAGTTTCCACTTTGAAAATAACGAAAGTGAAGAATTATAAGAATTGATGTTGTAGATAATATACATGGTATGATAACCGTCACCTTTTATATGTCTGTACTCTTTGAAACTGGTGTATCGCTGCAACCCCACTGCGTACACACAAATATTCAATTCAGTTTTATTTTATTTATAAAGCCCAATATCACAAATCACAATTTGCCTCACAGGGCTTTAAAGCATACGACATCCCTCTGTCCTTTGGACCCTCACAGCTGATCAGGAAAAACTCCCCAAAAAACCCTTTAATGGGGGAAAAACGGTAGAAACCTCAGGAAGAGCAACTGAGGAGGGATCCAGTAATGCAAAATAATATGTGCTTAAACCACAAGTACAAAAGTTTTACGCACAAATTCAGGATTCATTCATATTTTCTCCTCTGAATTTTGTTGTATTCTGAGAACAAATTTAAAGCTGCTTCAGATCATGCGTACGAACAAATGATGAAGGTCTGACTCTCTCAGAAAATGTCATTGAAATCTGGTGCTTGGGCAGTGAAACCAACACAACAAGGTGTCCTTTAACGTCGGCATGATACGCAGCACCTAGCGGAGTCAGGGGGAAGCGGTGAAAGTCTGATGAGGCAGGAGGGGTGGATGGGTCAAATAAACATGGACCTTCAACTAAGAACACAGTGTTCGTGTCCTGAAAGATTCTAAAGCCAAACCCTGTTCTTTATTCCTAAACCTAACCATGTGTGTTTGTTGTTGAAGGAAAAAAAAAAGTCAATCCGTGGTGTTGTACTGACGTAGTGCTTTTATTCTGAAAGAGACTGTATCAAACTGTACATTTCCTGTGAAAACAGAAGTGTATTTTGAAAACAGACAATGCATGTAACAGGCTGAAGTTGACACGGCGTCCCAGAACGTCAACAACCAACACACCCAGGGTACCTTGGACGACATATGTGGACGTGGAAAGTCCATGACCAAACGTGGACATGTGACGAGGTCACAGTGAGGATGATAATGCTGCAGCAACAACGCTGTCTGTGTGAACACTGCACATGTGGGCGTTCTAGTCTAGACAGGAAGATTTTGTAAAACGACGTCATGTGGATGGATTTTTTTTTAAAGTGGAGGAGAAAAATATCCAAAAACATCTGGAAACATATTATATATATGTGTATATATATATGTACAGTTACAGACAGGAAGTCGGAGCTGTCCACTTGTGATCACATCACCCAAAGCACACGTTGATACCAGGTGTAAACAGGCTCTAGATCCTGGCCCTGCCTCTGTGCATGCTGAGCTCCACAGTCATGTCTCTGTCCCTTTTCGCTCTGTCCTATCAGTCAGCCTCTGAGCATGAAATTGCTGCCACAGCTCGTATTGGACAAGCACCATTTCCCAGCTCTAACAGCTCAGCTTGGCAGGCAGGCCTCGCCCCACATTTAAAAACCAATCTGGAACCGATAGTCACTGAAAGCACTAATGAATATTTGCTGTAAACTCGTAGTGCTTATTATGGTGCTTTTATATCCCAGCCCATGCTCTGACACTAATGCTCAGAGGCAGATGTCAGATCTCTGTAATACAGACATAAACCTGCCGTCAGATTAGTGAGCTGTCATTTCCTCTTTCTGCTGAGCGGTGGTGGCGGGGGTGGGGGTGGGGGTGTTTGCTATGGGAGTCACGTCTAGTGGTCTTTCCTGGCCTCCAGTGAGAAACACGGTGTCTGTTTAGTAATTAGGGTTTTACACAGTGCGGGAACCTGCGGAGAAAGGCAGGCTCCAGATGTATTATCCTCGGGGAGGGCGAGGCAGGAAGAGACGGAGAGACGGAGGATAATCAGATGTACAGAAACAGTGAAACGGAGCTTTGCAGTGAACTGGCAGGAAATAAGGAACGCCAGCACACAGAGGAGGCTCCGTCGAGCCGGCTTCTTCCCAGGACTGATTGATTTCATGTGCTTTAATGGATTACTGGTGACCATGGTGTGAAGTAAGGTGGTGGGTGGCGTGTATCGAGGTCACTTCCCATCTACATCAAAGCGAGGCTGACATCTTCATCAAAGAGTCTGTTACTGCTCCTCTGGCGTATTCTCCTTTTCTGCCCGTCTCTCCCACACCAGCCTGTTTTTATTGAAAGGCTGGTCAGTGCTCAGAGGCTGATCCCTTCCAGCTGCTGCAGCAGGGCAGCTCCACACCGCCTGTACCGGTGTGTGAGTGTAGTCTGTCAACATGGACATTTTCAGGGAGTCGTATTAGAGCTGATATGGTTAGTAACTCCATCAGGTAGTTGATCAACAGAACATTTATCTACAACGTTATTTTATAATTAATTATTTTTAAAAAAACATTTCACTCCACGTCCCCAGAGCCCGTCTGCTGTACGATACGATACGTCAGCTCTGCCCGTCGCCCGGCACACAATGCATCGGACCCTGATTCCTGTCCCTGCAGGCGGTGGGCTCACAGGGTGACAGCTCCATATTGTTTTATCTGGTTGAGCCTGACTGGGCCCCTAAGGCCCAATGCCCCACCACCAGACACTCGCTGGCAGTGTCCCCGTACCAGACAAGGTGCTCAGAGTCCAAAAAGTCTATTTCATCAAGGTCCTCTTGAATCGCTCCTAGTCTGGCCCCTCCCCTGGGACCACTTTGCCTTGGGAGACCCTACCAGGGGCTGTTAGCCCCGGACAACACAGCTCCCAAGGTGGCGATTCTCAAAGGAGAGAATATTTGTACTTTATATCATTTCCTTACCCTATGTTACTTTATTTTGTGCATCCACCGGGGAACCAAGAAACCAAAAACTGAGAAAGTTCTTGATGAGTAAGGCTGAGCTGAGTACTGTCAAATAAAGCTGTCCTCTCATGTTGGCATCATTAACAGCTGGTCGCTGTCATTGTTTAAGGGTGTCGGCAGCGTCGGAAGAAACGCACGACAAGGACAAAAGTTAGGCAGCCAAGTCAGAGTAGGGCGGGCTGGAGGGGTGGATGGGTTCAACAAACACAGACTTTCATCCAGGAGGCCGGTGTTCACCTCCCGAAAGATTCTAAAGCCAAACCCTGTTCTTTTTTCCTAAACCCAACCACGTGTTTGTTGTTGAAGGAAAAAAAAATCAGTTGGCGGTGTTGTACTGACGTAGTGCTTTTATTTTGAAAGAGACTGTATCAAACTGTACATTTCCTGTGAAAACAGAAGTGTATTTTTCTTCAAAGCCAGACTCACGGGAGCTGCTGGTCAATCGCTGCCTTGATCAGTTAGTTCTTTTTATTGTGCGACTTGGATGTTAAAAAAAAAAAAAAAAAAAAAAAAGCTTTAGTTTGGATTCACCTGAGTCACACAACATGAACAAACTAAGTGACTCTGGCAGCAGTAGACCAGAGGCCTGTACTAAGAAGCCAGATTGGGGGTTAGTGAAGTAACTGCAGGGTTAACTCTGGACTGCAGATTATTTTCAGAGTTACAATATGTACCTGTAATATTTCACAATAAATTACATTATTTACATCTTAAAGGCTGCAACTGTGATATTAAACTGTATTCAGAATTTTATTGTGAAATTCACACATATAAATAAAGTAATTTTATAGAAGGATGCAGCAAAATCACAGTTATCAAATCAACATAAACTGAAGTTACAGTTAAACACAGTAATTTACAGGAATGTATTGTTATATCACAGTAATGTAATGGGCTTTAACTGTGAGGTTACAGTTAAATACAGTAATTTTACAGGAGCATAATGTTGTATCACAGTAATATGCAGGTATAACTACTGTCAGCTCACAGTAATTTACTGTAAATGTACAGCCAACAGTTTACTGGATATTATTTCTGGAAAATTACAATATTGAAGTGTAATATATCACAATTAATTACATTATTATCACCTCACAGGCTTTTACTGTGATATTTAACTGTATTTAGAATTGTATTGTGAAATCCACGCAGGTAAATATGGTAATTTTACAGAAGTACACTGTTAAATCACAATAATTCAATATACATAAACTTTACAGGAACGTACTGTTACATCACAGTAATGTACCTCGCTTTGACTGCGAGGTTACAGGTAAACACAGTAACTTTATGGAGCCATAATCAGTCATTTAACAACAATTTACTGTAAAAATTATACAGTAATTTACTGTGAAAGTGATGCAGCTAGTAGCCTGTAATTTACTGTAAATGTGTGGCCAGATATTTTACAGTTTGGGTTTTCAGTGCTATGAAGCTGCTTCTCTTGTTCCCGGGATAAATCACCATGGTAACGTTAACTTAACAGCTAACCTGCTGCAGAGGAGGGTAACTTCAGGGTATCAGATTACAACCTGTCAACACCCCGACCTCGGACCAATCAGATGACTGGAATCACAGGTCAGAGAGATTGTTTAGATTGTTGAAATTAATAAAGATGATGCAGCTGCAGTGAAAGTGTACAAACTTTAATTTATCCTGCAGTGATGATTTTATTCTCTGTCTCGTCAGTACAGCTCAGAATAATGAGACACCTGCGTGGTGACAATCAGATAAAGAGATAATCCACACTGTTAATTGGCTCCTGTGATTATAGATGCAACATTTCGGTCAGATAAACCTTTAAATATTGTTTCACTCTTCACATAAACAGTCTGGTTTTAAGTGTTTTTATGTGACATATTCAAAGTAGTTCCTTCATCATTCAACTACAGCAAAACACATATTTAATAATACCTACACCTGCTTTGAGGCTTAGCTTACTTTTAATATGTGGACATTATTTCTGGTCCTCTCTGCTGTAAGATTACAGGCTGTGGTTTACATTTCAGTCCGACGAATATGACTCATGATGAAAATATAAAAAGCACAAAACACTGCAGCAGATAATCAGTATCACTGTTTCATCTCGTGTGATAGGAAGCAGCCTCCGTCATTCATGGCTCTGATGATGTTGCTCATAATTAACAGCCCACCTCTTTAACATGAACGCACTCCGTGGCTGGAGAGGAAACCCAGAGTCTACTGAGTGAGCTGATAACCAGTTTGTGGTACTATCTGTCCAGACAGCCAGTGTGACGGGTTAGTGAAGTCAGCTAACCAAAGATACCTTGGGTATGTTGAACTGGTGTCGTCGTGCAGGTGTCAGCAGCTCCTGTGTTGTCCCGTGAGTCCGGCTTTAAGGAGAGCATGGAATAAGTTTCACTTTCCATTCAGTTCCTGGTCAGAAAGGAGAGTTTGTGAAGTACTGAATATACAACTGGTTAAATGGGACTTGGATCAGATACACTCAGCGGCCACTTTATTAGGTACACCCTGCTGGTACCAAGTTGGACCCCCTTTTTAATTTATGGTGTCACAGATTCAACAAGGTGCTGGAAACATTCCTCAGAGATGTTGGTCCATATTGACATGATGACATCACACAGTTGATCCATGATGAGAATCTCCCGTTCCAGCACATCCCAAAGGTGCTCTATTGGACTGAGATCTGGTGACTGTGGAGGCCATTGGAGTACAGTGAAGTCATTGTCATGTTTGAGATGATGTGAGCTTTGTGACATGGTGCGTTATCCTGCTGGAAGTAGCCATCAGAAGATGGGTACACTGTGGTCATAAAGGGATGGACACGCTCAGCAACAATACTCAGGTAGGCTGTGGTGTTTAAACCATGCTCAGTTGGTACTAAGAAAATCTCCCCCACACCATTACACCACCAGCAGCAGCCTGAAGCGTTGATACAAGGCAGGATGGATCCATGCTTCCATCTGAATGTGGTTTTTCCAATCTTCTATTGTCCAGTTTTGGTGAATTGTAGCCTCAGTTTCCTGTTGTTAGCTGACAGGAGTGGCACCTGGTGTGGTCTTCTGCTGCTGTAGCCCATCTGCTTCAAGGTTGGACAAGGTGTTGTTGCTTCAGAGATGCTCTTCTGCACACCTTGGTTGGAACCAGTGCTTATTTGACTTCCTGTTGCCTTTCTATCATCTTGAACCAGTCTGGCCATTCTCCTCTGACCTCTGGCATCAACAAGGCATTTTGGCTCACTGGATATTTGCTCTTTTTGGGACCATCCTCTGTAAACCCTAGAGATGGTTGTGCTGAAAATCCCAGTAAATACTCAGACCAGCCCGTCTGGCACCAACAACCATGCCCTGTTCAAAGTCACTTCAATCACCTTTCTTCATCAGCCTGATTAGATATTTGGTCTACAGAGGCAGCAGCCGAGGCTTTGAAAAGAGTGATGTGACAGATTCATTTTCTGACATTAAAATATAGCATACACTTAAACTGACACTGATTTCTTGAGGTGGCTGCAACACATTTTGTTGCTGACCCGTACTCAGCAGCAGATTGTTGAGCTTCCATGTCAAACTCCGCTGACTGTACGCTGTACTGCAGGTGACACACTGTCTATAGATCAGCACCTCATACAGCCTCACTGCTATAAACCTCAACGTTCCCTTTAATATGTTGCATATGAATGTAATAACTAGAACAGAGAGTTGAACTGAGGTCAGCAAGTCACCAAAGTCATTAGAGCCATGAATAATTAGCTGCCAGACAGAAACAAACTGAAGATTTTGCTCTGAGTTTATCATAAGAAGCGAGCGAACAGCTTCTCTGGGGTTTTATTGTTAAGTCCTGCATTGGCAGCAAATTTAAACAGCCAGGAGCGCAGGGAGAGTTTCTGCCTGTGGCCGTCACTAATCACTGAATATCCTCGGATATAAAACCGCTTTGAAAAACACAAAGCGTGTAAAAATACAGTTCTTTGAGGCAGAAATAATTGGGATGGCAGAATTTAATTTCTGTCCCTTTGTCACCTTCTAAATCTCTTATTTTTTTCCTCTAGCTTAAACCTTTAAGAACATCAGTCTCAGTCTCAACATGCAAATCTGTCTCGTCCCCGCCAGTCAGACCCCAGCTGGCCCCATTAACTGTGTCACCATCGCACTCACAGCACCATTTCTTCATGTGAACCCACTGCTCAGTTGACAAATAAGCTCTGCCGGCAGCAACAAGCACAAAGCTCGTATGGATGCTGTCTCACCGGAGAAAAATTACTGATGTGACTAACAAGTGAGGCTTCTGCTGAGAACCAGGCTGCTGGTGCTTCAGCGAGTGATGAAAACAGTACAGAGGGCTCCATCTAGTGGTCGGGTCAGGAAACAGCCAGAAAGGCCTCGTGTGAATCAAAGAGTGTCTGATGTTCTCTCTGAAACCTGCAGGATGTTTCTGCTGTTCAACCAGACTCTGCTACCAAGAGTTTATTTGCACTTGGACACTTGACGCTTTTTGTCTTTATACCTGGACCGGACACTTTTAATTTGTTTTTAGGGACTGTCTTTATTTTACAGAGTGGTCTGCTTTATACAGCCTGGACCTCAATGAAGACGTAGATTTCAGGAAAATCAGAAAACAACCAGTCATGCAGCTCACAACTGAGAGTGAGTCAGCGGAGATACGATTCTTAAATGTGCTTTAAAAACTCTTTTGTGTGTGTGTGTGTGTGTGTGTGTGTGTGTGTGTGTCAGGACACAGCATCAGTGCTGAAGCAGAGCTGTCCGTCTCACAGCTGACGAACAGCCAGCAGATTGAGGCGGACAGGAGCTGGAGGGACAGCTGGGTCTTTTCCTGCTTTGTCTCACGGTGTGTCTCTTCCAGGTTGTGCCATCATTCGTCCTCCCAGAGATGGAGGGATACGGTACAGAGGTCTGACACAAGAGCAGGTAGGAACGGCTGCTGCCTCACTGTCATCACAGCTGCACAGACACCAATACACAATCATGAGGCTGGTGTTCAGAGTGCAGGTTAATATTATGTCCCATATATATACAGCTCTCACCCAGAGAGCACTGTGAACAAACACTTTCTGATTCAGTGGCATCATGTGGTGAGGACTACAGAGTGCAGCCAGATGAAAGGTCTCCTGGTTTAGCAGGAGTTACAGTCATGCGGCAGAGTTTATGAGTAATGGTCCTATCTAGAGTTGGTGTTTGGTTTGTCCATTCTGGGCTACTGTAGAAACATGGCAGTGCAACATGGCGATATCCAAGACCTGCTCCCTTTGTAGAAATAAACGGCTCATTCTAAAGTAACGAAAACACAACAATTATACACTCAAGAAAAAGTACTTATATCCATCTATTGATGGACACACTGTGTGTGTGTGTGTGTGTGTGTGTGTGTGTGTGTGTGTAGATCCGCAGTGTGCAGGTGCTCCCCGTAGACTATGAGATCGAGTACATCTGCAGGGGCAGCAGGGTGATCGTGGGACCAAAGGTCAGGAAGTGTTTGCCCAACGGCACCTGGACCGACCTGAGCCAGCGCAGCAGATGCTGTAAGTTTCACCTCAGCTGACTCTTCACTCTGTCATCCGTCACACATTCATTCATCTCCTTCCTGAAACACTGATCCAGATAGACACACCCCGCCGCTGAGCCGTTAAGCATCTGCTCTCAGAGGACAAAGTTCTCCTGAGGAGAGATCACATGAGCTCCCTCTGTCCTCGCAGGCCGACGTCAAGATCAGGTCTTTCTTCAAAAAGACAGGAGTGTGACCGGTTTCACATGAACAGCAACTCTCAGGCCCCGTTGCACACAGCAGACAAGAACATATCCAAATTCAAACAATATTTTAACAGCACAAACATGTTACATCACATTATTCAATCCTCTCAAAACACTACAGCAGCAATTTAGAAAACACTACAGCATTTTAGAAAACACAACATTTTAAAAAACATTACAGCAATTTTGAAAACATTGCAACATTTTAGAAAACACTACAACATTTTAGAAAACACAACATTTTAAAAAACATTACAGCAATTTTGAAAACACTACAACATTTTAGAAAACACTACAGCATTTTAGAAAACACAACATTTTAGAAAACACTACAGCATTTTAGAAAACACAACATTTTAAAAAACATTACAGCAATTTTGAAAACACTACAGCATTTTAGAAAACACAGCATTTTAGAAAACACGTTTTAGAAAACACAACATTTTAGAAAACACTGCAGCATTTTAGAAAACACAACATTTTAGAAAACACTACAGCATTTTAAAAAACATTACAGCAATTTTGAAAACATTGCAGCATTTTAGAAAACACTACAACATTTTAAAAAGCACAGCATTTTAGAAAACACTACAGCATTTTAGGAAACACAGCATTTTAGAAAACACTACAGCATTTTAGAAAACACAACATTTTAAAAAACATTACAGCAATTTTGAAAACATTACAACATTTTAGAAAACGCTACATTTTAGAAAGCATTACAGCATTTTAAAAAACAACATTTTAGAAAACACTACAACATTTTAGAAAACAAAACATTTTAGAAAACACTACAATATTTTAGAAGACACTACAGAATTTTAAAAAACAACATTTTAGAAAACATTACAACATTTTAAAAAACATAGCATTTTATAAAACACTACAACATTTTATAAAATACTACAGCATTTTAGAAAACACTACAACATTTTAAAAAACATTTTAGAAAACACTACAGCATTTTAAAAAACATTTTTGAAAACACTACAGCATTTTAGAAACACTACAACATTTTAAAAAACATTTTAGAAAACACTACAGCATTTTAAAACACAACATTTTAGAAAACACTACAGCATTTTAAAACACAACATTTTAGAAAACACTACAGCATTTTAAAACACATTTTAGAAAACACTACAACATTTTAAAAAACATTTTATAAAACACTACAGCATTTTAGAAAACACTACAACATTTTAAAACACAACATTTTAGAAAACACTACAGCATTTTAAAAAAACATTTTAGAAAACACTACAACATTTTAAAAAACATTTTAGAAAACACTACAACATTTCAAAACACAACATTTTAGAAAACACTACAGCATTTTAGAAAACACTACAACATTTTAAAAAACAACATTTTAAAACACAACACTTTAGAAAACACTACAGCATTTTAAAAAACATTTTTGAAAACACTACAGCATTTTAGAAAACACTACAACATTTTAAAAAACAACATTTTAGAAAACACTACAACATTTTAGAAAACACAACATTTTAGAAAACACTACAGCATTTTAGAAAACACTACATTTTAAAAAACAACCTTTTGGAAAACACTACATTTTGGAAAACAAAACATTTTAGAAGACACTACAACATTTTAGAAAACACTACAGCATTTTAGAAAACACTACAACATTTTAAAAGACACAGCATTTTAGAAAACACTACAACATTTTAGAAAACACTACAGCATTTTAAAAAACATTTTAAAAAACACCACAGCATTTTAGAAAACACTACGGCATTTTAGAAAACACTACAACATTTTAGAAAACATTTTAGAAAACACCACAGCATTTTAGAACACACTACGGCATTTTAGAAAACACTACAACATTTTAAAAAACACAGCATTTTAGAAAACACTACAACATTTTAGAAAACACTACATTTTAAAAACCACAGCATTTTAGAAAACACTACAACATTTTAGAAAACACTACAACATTTTAAAAAACACAGCATTTTAGAAAACACTACAGCATTTTAAAAAACATTTTAGAAAACATTACAACATTTTTGAAAACACATTTTAGAAAACACTACAGCATTTTAAAAAACATTTTAGAAAACATTACAACATTTTTGAAAACAACATTTTAGAAAACACTGCAAAATTTCAGAAAACAACTTTTTAGAAATGTTGTAATTCCTGCAGTTACACTGTTTTGAGAAATGGAGTAGTGTTTTCTGAAGTATTTGTAGAAATGTTTTTGTGTTTTCTTAATGTTGTCGTCTTTTCCGGTATGTGATTTGACCCTCAGGGCCACCGTAGTGACAGGGCGAGGACATGAGGCACACACACACACACACCAAAACAGAAAAACAAAAGTGCTTTAAAGAAGCTCAGGGTCAGAGTGAAAAAAGAAAAGCACATTATCAAGCACAGAGGGATATTTGTGTGTGTCAAAGGCTCTGTCTCAGGGACAGTCCATAAACAGGCACAAATCATCGGCAAACTCAGGAGAACAAAACAAATATGCCAATCTTGCAACTACCAGGCCCCGTTGCATATAGCAGACAAGAACATACACATAACCCACTCATAGTTAACCAAGCATCCACTTGGACTCAAGGATGAACTGATCAGAATTTAGTTTTCAAAGGTTAAGTTGCTGTGATCTTGCGTACGTACACAATATCTCAAGAATGCCTCGAGGGAGTATTTTCACATTTGGTCTACTTGGACTCTGATGCTGACCTGATGAGATGTTTGTGGTCAAAGGTCAAAGTCATGGTGACCTTTTGTCTGTCTAATTCTCATGAACCCAATAGTTCAAGAGGGCTTCGACAGATTGTCCTCAAATTTGACACAAACGTCCACTCGGACTCAACGATGAACTGATTAGATGATGGTGATTCTTTGCGAGGTCACTGAGACCTCAAACAAAATGTGTTTCATCGTAACTGAAGAAATCATAAGCTAATAATGACAAAATCTTACGCTGCGTTCTAGATACAATTACGAATGAATTATATGTTATATCCAAAAGGTCAAAGGTCAGCTTGACTGTGACATCTTCGTGTTTTAAAGTCATATCTCAGGAACAGAAGGGGAGACATTTGGTCAGATACTGAGCTGATTGTACAGATCTTCTGTGTGTGAAGCATCCATGTTTTAGAGTTTGTAACCTCTTGCAGCAACATCCATATTTGAAACAGTGTCTTCTGTCACGTGGGTGCGGACAGACGTGGATGTAAACTGTTAGCTGTAACTCGACTGGTTCATACAACAATGAGGCGGTCATTCTAGTTTGCTGTGCATGTCAAGTCTTTTTCAGCACGGGCGCTGCAGTGCACACAATGTCGGCCCTGAAAACCTACTTTCTTACTCAGCCGGATGATCGGTGCAGATCTGAACTAGATGTGCTAACATGCTCTTTCATTTGACAGGAACCTTGATACTCTGCCTGTATGAAGCAGGTAAGATGTTTGTCCAGTTGAACACAGGTCCTGAGGATATGCAGCCTGCGCTCAATACAGACACGTAGAAACAGTCAAGTCAAAAACACTCCCAAACCTCCCTGAATGGCCTCAAGGTGTCACTGTGTTCCTTTACATTGACTCTGCAGCCTGTTTAAAACGTCCAGCTCTTCATCACGAGGGTCATACATTAAGGTCAACATATGAGCAGCGTCACAGATGATCATCTCAGCCTGACAGCAGGTAGAACGAGCATGTAGTAGTTGTATTAGTGTAATGCATCCATCATGAGAATAATGTTCATCTTAACATCTCAGTCTCATGAAGTCAGGAAGTGTCTTCGCTGAAAATGAAGATATTAAAAATAAATAATGTGACTTAATTTGGCGGTGACTATAAAGCAGGTCAATGGTCTGATGTGGAGAGATCTTAATTGGTTAACAGTGATGTTGAGGCCATTCTGACACCAGCAGGCATGTGCTGCTTCCTCCTTGATGGTCCGAGGGTCTTATATATCTCACAGTCCTGCACGGATCCGTTTCTGAAAACCAGCACCCGCCCACACCCGTAAAGCTCAGCACCATATCTGACCAGTTACTCGTAATTATGTCAAAGCCACATATTTAATCAACAATTTTCAGTTATTTTAATAATATTTTTTGGACATTTTCTGAACATTTTTTATGACTTTTTATTAAAATGTTTTCAGATATTTTAATCACAATTCTTTTTATATTTTATAATTTTGTTAGACATTTTATCATCATTTTCTCTGACATTTCATTTATATTTTTTGGGATGTTTAACAACATTTTTTAAAAAATATTTTAATAATGTTTTTCACATATTTCACAAATATTTTTTGCACATTATTTTTTAAATTTTTTTTTTTTTAATATATTAGTTGCCATTTCAGCACCATTTTTTCCACCACCATCAAACCTCCAAAGGATCCCAACTCCATGTAGGCTGCCACCTCATCCTCGGGCTGCAAAGTGTCATGGCTGGAGTCCTCCATGTCGGTGACCAATGTGACCACGGGGTCAAAGGTTACACTGGTGTCACTGACTTTCAGAATAAAAGCAACTGCAGCTTGATGATAGTAATTTAGATGTTAGAATATTACACATAAACTACACAGCTTTTTACTTTGGTTTAGTATGAGAAATAAAAAATAGATTTTAGTTCTCACCTGTGTGGAATGAATTTTTACCCCAGAAGTTTATATATATATATATTCACAGTTTTTTGCAGCTCACCTGTCGGGCACACGACCAGGTGCCTGTATGAGTCGACTGTGAGGCTGCTGTAATATTTCTGGTCGCTGTCACGCTTCACTGCAGTCCCCTCACTCCTTCATCCTCACTCTGTCACCACCCAAATACAAAAGCAAAATATTGTACTGATGGAGGTCAGCTGAGCTCTGGCAGCCACTGTCACCGTGTCAGAGTAAAGCGTCCTCTGTCTGTGTCTTCCAGTGTTGATGTGTCCCCGGGTGTGGACGTCACTGGAGAACGGCCGGGTGTCCTCGTGGCCCCTGGGGCCCCCGGTGGAGGGGACGTTGCTGCATTACAGCTGTCTGCCCGGCTTCATCCTCATGGGCCGAAACTCTACACAGTGCAACAAGATGGGGAAGTGGGACACGCCCAAACCTGTGTGTCACTGTGAGTCACCGTCCTCCCGTCACACGGCTCAACACTTCAAACTGAAACATCAGAGTCACAGCTGATCGTTAGCTGCCAAACAACACGTACGATATTTAGTGTCACATGATCACATAGAGACGTGACATCAGGAAATTTCAACATGTCACCCGAGACTGTGAGAGAATAAGGCTTTATTCATTTAATGGATCTATAAATACAATTTAATCATGTTTTTTTAGTTCATGTAGAATAAACATTTGTTACAGACAAGGAAAGGAAAGGAAATGAATGAAAAGGAAAGGAAAGAAAAGGAAAGGAAAGGAAATGAATGAAAAGTAAAGGAAAG